TGAACAGGTTTTAAAAAGGCAACTTGCAATGAATTTTCATTTAATACCTGGGTATCAATTTAAAATATACCTAATTAGAAAACTTATCTTAAAAATTAGTAGTTATATGTTAAAAAATATATGTCCATGGGGCCAGCGCAGTGGCTCACTTGGCTAATCCTCTGCCTGTGGCGCCAGCATCCCATATGGGCTCCAGGGTTTAGTCCCAGTTGCCCCTCTTCCAGTCCAGCTCTCTGCTGAGAGCAGTGGAGGATGGCCCAAGTTCTTGCACCCTTACACCCATATAGGAGACCAGGAAGAAGCACCTTGCTCCTGGCTTTTGATCAGCGCAGCACTGGCTGTAGAAGCCATTTGGGGAGTGAACCAACAGAAGGAAGACCTTTCTCTCTGTCTCTCTCTCCCTCACTGTCTATAACTATACCTCTCTAATGAAAAAAAAAATAAAAATAAAAAAATATGTCCACTAGGAAAAAAATGAAAGAAATTAAATAAGTAATGTGTTTTGAAATAAATTTTGAAAGTATATATTTAAGGAAACTATGTATTCTATTGTACTACAGCTGTAGATGTGGTTCTTAAATGTCAAAATAAACTGGTTATTAACTTCAGGTTCGTGGGCCCTCATAAAAACTGCTAAAACATAATCTCTAGGAATAAGACACAAGCATCTGCATTTTTTTAAAGGCATCTGTGTCTGGAACTTGACCTTCAGTTGCTAGGATGTGCTTAATATGTATATGAAAATATAGTTGGATTCATAGAACATCATTTTAGAATCTCAAAAATGTCAATTACCTATGTAATTATAGTAGTTTGCAACAAAACCTTAGACAATATGTGCTCATTCAAAAATCAAGCCTCAAATAGAAATACCAGCCATTAACTATATTCCCTCTATGGATTCATATTACTTATAGCAATTTTCTGAAATAGAAAATATGGTCACATGTCAGAATATCCTATTGGCCTTTTCTAAACCAGTCCTAGGAACATCAAAACCTTGCCCTGCTTTCAGATTGTGATACTTGCCCTTCTTCAGTCTTTGGTACCACTGATCCTCAGGAAAAACTCCTAACATGGCAACTGAGTCTTGTTACATCTTTCCAACTTCTCTGGGTAATATCCTATATATAGACTCTGATCAAACCAGGGAAGTCTACGTTCAGGGCCCCAGGTGCACCATGTCCTTGCATGCCGTCATGCCATTGGCATATTGTTCACTGCCTGGCATGCCCTTCTTTCTTCATCAGCCTGGCACGCACTGTCATTCTTTTAGTCTCAGATCAAACATCATCACACATAGGAAGTTTGATCCATCTCTGTTCAAAAAGTTCGATGCTTTCGCGGCTGTGCTGCCAGTAGTATCTTGTTTATGCCTCCGTTTTAGTATTAGCATGTGACTATAATTATATCTCATCTCACACTTTTGGCATGAAATAAGGGCTCAATCCATGTTTGTGTAATGAGTTAAGAACATTCGGTTTCATTTGTCCCGTGATTAACACATGTTAGGTACTGTGCTCAGTGCTCTACAAGCATTTCATCCAATCCTTAGAAAGTTTCACAAGTAGCAATGATTATTAATATTTTAAAATATCAGACAGCTAATCCTGAGAAATATTAACAGCTTGCTAAAGGTCATGAAACTAGGTGGTGGCAGACATAGAATCTGAACGCAGAGTTTCCCTGACCCTAAACACAATGTTCTTAAATGTAACAGCGTGGTGCTTCTTTGCAAGGCTTGTGTGTTAGCCATTTTCTGCTGCTATAAAAGAATACCACGAACTGAGTAAATTATACAATGGCTTATTTGGCTTATGGTTCTGGAGGCTGGAAGTCTAAGAGTCTGGAGTCAGCATCTGGTAAGGGCCTCTGTGCTGCATCATGACATGGCAGGTCAAGCAAGCATGAAAAACAGAAAAACGAAATCAGGCTGCACCTATCCGTTTTATGGGGGAACCCATTCTTCTAATAACTAACCCATTCCCTTGGTAATGGCAATAATCTCTTCCCAGGGGCAGAGCTCTCATGACCCAGTTACCTCCTGAAGGTCACACATCTTAATACTGTTACAACATCAATTACATTTCAACACCAGCTTTGGAGGGAACACTCAAAACAAAGCAGGCTCAGATTTTACTTGATTGTTAATGGCATTTTCTCTTTGATGGTTTCCACTCAAACATTACCCTCATTGCTGGACCTTCGAGGGAAGATGACAATTTTTTAATCATTGGAATGCTCTACAACCCAGATAAGGCACACATGTGCCTATGGGTGTACACAGGTACTCACACACACTCAGTGAATGGCAAAACACACATATATGTGAGATAGTTATATAAAAAAGCTTATTTTGCAAAATTGCCCCAAAATGTAAAAATTGCTATTAACCACATCAATGAAAAGTCACCAGAATAGAAAAAGAAGTCTCCTTTAATGAAAACCTTACAAAATTCTCCCAAATTGCATGTGATTTTTAATGGACTACAGCCACTTTCTGCATTTCTATTTCATTTCTTGGACAAGAGGAAAATATATTATTTATGCAGAAGCATAGTTAGGGTTTCCAACCACTAACACATGGCCTGTAAAAAATAATAATCCATTTTTCTATTGTGCAATAGTCCTGTGTTGGGCAGCAACAATGAACAATGTGCTAGTTTCCTGTTACTTTACCAGAGCCTCCTCTTTCACTCACTGCCCAGACTAAATAGTTACTCCTTGGATAATAAAGCTATAATACTGAGTTTCAAGCTACTTCCAAAATTGTTCCTGCCTGTCTTAAAAAATAATCATATCAGTTTGCTAATAAGCAGAAATACACTGCAAGTTGAGGATGTTGTCACAAGTGGCTAAAAATTATATAAATCAATCTGTGACCAAGGAAGAAACAATATATTTCTTATGTTTCTAAAACATTATGGTTGGGATCACAGCTGTAAGATGTTGGACCATGATCAAGAGAACAATGTCAAACACTAAACTTCTGGATGATTTCCATAAAAATAACATTTTGTTTGGGGTCAGTAGTTTTTATGGAACTTTGGAATGATTTGTGCTGACAATTTTTTTGGAGTTGAACTTGAACACCTCCAAAATGCTCCTTAAAATGGAAATATTATGTAATCTAACCTTTACAGCCATCTTTTTCTGAAATTCAAGCACAGGCCATGAGATCCAGTGTTTCTCTCTTTCAGTTTGTACAGCTTTATGAAATTTAGATCATACTAGATATTCAGGAAGGTGAATTTATTCTTCAATTTTCTTTGCTTAGTGACTACATTCAAGTCAGCATTTCAAAGGTATAGTCATTAAATACAGCATCAACAAAGGGCCCTGGATTCCCTCTGCAGAAATCTCACCGGCCCAGCAACATTGTTTTAAGTGGAAAAAAAAAGGAATTGCAAAGTCAGTGTTTAAGTAGCTCATTATAGTCTTAAGAGTTGACTCTGTTTGCCATTCATCTCTAAATATCCTCCAAAACCTGATGGACATTTTGCTTCACCTTGGTCTGAATTCTCATTTTTGTTAACTGTGTTTTTCGAGTACAGAAACTTGGAGGTGTGTTATGTTGAATCCAACAAAGTAAGTTTTCATAAAGTAAATGAAAGAGTTTGTAAATAAAGTCTCATGACAAAGCTGGTTGTGGCATAAAATCATTAAGCCAAGAAGACTGTGTTGGCCTACTATACAAATGCAGTATTAATAATATTGCTCCCTAGGATTCTGTAACTAGAGCTCAAGAAAAGAAAAAGCCAAACCGCCAAATTTAATATTTGCAGCCTGTTTCAAAATGTGAAAATATTTTGGTTCTCTCATGCAAATAATTTCCCCAAAATGCTTTTGTCCCAAGTGACTTATTATAGAGACTAATTTCAAATTTTGTATGGCTCAGTGTGTAGGGATGTGAATTCACAATTTGTTCTACATTGAGGAATAGCTGGTCTTTAGTTTTCATAATTTTCATTTAAGTAATTTCTCATTGTATATATGTGCTAATTGATGTTACAAGCCCTCAGGAATTTCTTAGTACTGTAAAGTACTGTAAAGTGTTTCCATGATAATAAAACATCTCCTTACTTTACTCTTTAAAAATACATAAAAACATTCATCCAATTTGGTGTCAGGCTCAGGTGCTTTGATCATATTACTGTCTCCTGAAATTCTCAGTGGTTCTCCAGTTTCAACAGAATAAAATTCAGTTCATCACCTGGTTCTATATTAACTATAGTATTCCTTCTCCCATCAAAATTTGTAGTCATGTTTATTCACTTCTAAAAGGGAATAGTGTCAGTTTGATTTAAGCCCATGATTCAAGAGCCTCCATGGAATCCAATAAATACTTAGTTATTTGATCACTAAAAACACAAATTCTTTACCCTTATGGCTTATAACACATATTTATTGATAAGTGATAGTCACCATCACCCATCAGATAAATTGCAATGTAAATGAATTTCAAATTATAAATATTTGTTACTTATTCTAGTCTTCAACCAGAATTATTCTTTTCATGTTCATTATGCAAATCAATTATCTTCTCTTAGATGACATGCAACTATCTCAACAGACTGCAAGTATATAGCTCCTTCTGGAAAAATCTGACTTGAAAATGATGCTTTAAATAAGAATCAGATAAAATATACATATCAATAAATGCTTAAATAGCAAGACAACTTTCTATGTTCAAAAGTTTCTATTAAATATGTATAAATATCTGTAAACTAAATTTCAAATCAACAAGGTAGAACTCTCTAAAGTTCAAACTGTCATGAATTGTTTGGTTTGTTATATTTTATAGTTTTCATATTTATGTGGTTTAGAATATAGCCTAGACTGAACAGAGTCGTTGAATGAATGATTTATATAGTATATGTTTAGCATCCACAAATATGCTATGCAAACTAAGAAAAATTTAAGTCTTTTCTTAAAAAAAAAAAACTTAGGTTAGAACATGACTTAATGTAGTTTTTAAAGGAGTATTTTTTTTATTTCAGGAAAAAAAGGAAGAGAGAGGAAAAGAAAAAAGCTTAATAAAGAAGAAAATAAGGAAGCAATACCTGACAATAAAAGTCTGGAATCCAGCAGAGAAACTCCAGAACAGCGAGAACACAAAGACAAACAGCAGCAGAAGAAGCGAAAAGTCCAAGACAAACAACAGAAATCGGTATCAGTCAGCACTGTGCACTAAAGGGTCCCATGAGATTGCTATAGACTCATGATGCTGCTATCTCAAACAGATGCCCAGGACAGGTGTTCTAGCCATTAGGACCACAAACGGACAACATATCAGTTACTGCTCTGTCTAAACAACATTCCAGATAGTTGCTATATTCTTCCTTACAAGCATAGTAAACAACAAAGAGCAAAAGTTCAAAGAAGGGATACTTTCCAATGGTTATCTTCTGTGCTTCTGCGCATTTTTAAAAGACAAGAATTTTGTGTATAATGATCAATAGGCTGTAAGATGTAACAACGTAATGACATCTGGAGAAGAAACATCTTGTTCCTATAAAAATATTTGTTCAATCTATTATCTTAAGAAGCAAAAGATAATTCTGCAAATTCAAAGATGCAGTATCCCTTCAAAACAAATAGGAGATCAGGGGAGAGAAACATCATTGAAGAGACCGTGTTGTTTTGATCCAGGAGGTCTAGATCTCTTAGGGCACTCCTGGCATTTGGAATCACAGGATTCAAACATCACAGAAACAACGGTTTTAAGATTAGTTCTATTGTCCTCATCCTGTACTTCTGCAAGAAACATGAGAGTGTATGCCACAGTTAAATATACTGTATGAGATTGGAGAAGGCAAAATGTGGAAGAAATCATAGAGTTGGAGATTACTTTTGTGCTTTTCAAAACAGTGAAGGGTCGGGACCACCTGGAACAGGTCTCCAATCTATGTCAGCACTATAACATTCAGCCTCTGATACCCCTTGAATTATATAAGTCTGTAAACATGTGCCTGTAACTTACTTCCAAAAGCAAAATCATACTTATTAGAAGAAAATTCTGATTTCATAGAAAACAAAAAATAGAGCAAGGGGAGTATAATACGTTTGCCAAGTTTTGTGTTTTCTTTTTCTCTCAATGGGGGAAAACAATTTTATGACCTGCTCCATGGTCCACCTGGAACTAAAAGGGATACTACTTTCTAACAAGGTGTATCTAGTAGGGGAGAAAGCCACCACAATAAATATATTTGTTAATAGTTTTTCAAGTTCTGTTCACTTTGTTTTATTGCTTGCTCTATTGGGAAATTGTTACTCTTAGACACTCATGAATCAAGAAAAAGAATTCTGCTAAACCAGGAACCTATGTCCTATGTCTATGTAATTAAGAACATATGAACATTTCTCTGTGTTTTGAATTCACCTTTATCTGAACAGATGGAGATATATTTAGAAGGTATTAGGAGACAGTGATTCAAACTTTATTTTATTATACAAGATTCTAGTTATAGATGCATGGGCCTACCTAAATGGTTTCATTGCTCCCCCCTCATAGCTTAGAAATTAGCATCTTTTCTTGTATGTTGGTTCCTCCTAGATCTTCAACACTTAGCCTTTTCTTCTCCATATTTTCTCAGTCTGTGGATCTCTTTTGGGGATTGAAGTCACCCTAGCTGAAGCCCTACCTGTGTTTCACAGAGGACACAGCCAGTCCAGTACAGAAGGAGGCATCCCTGAATGTGCAGTGTGCGATCTCGTGACCCACCATAACCTTCCTGTTGCAATGGAAGGATACACAGCTGCTCTGTCCACCAGGCCTCCTAGTCCTGTCAAGATCACTGCTTGCTGAAGAACTTGCAATGAATCCGACTTCTCACTGCCTGGCTCTGGGCACTCTCTCTGCCAACTGTACTGTTCATGTGGACTGCTTGGCTTAATTGGGTTTCCATCTCTCTTTTCCTCTCCCAAGATATAAAAATTTATCATGATGTATTTGTGTTTCTTACTCTAGTGTTTCTTTACTTGTCCACATGGGATGAACATTTCAACTACAACTATTCCCAAAATATAAAATAATGCTATCTTCAACTAAAACATATGCTACCAAGGAGAAACCAATCTTATCCAACAGAATTATGTGAAGCAGAAGTAAGGTCCCATGGTTTAGAACTTTCAAATGATTCCACACACCATCTTTGTCCTCAGTGTTATCTAATCAAGTATAAATAACAAAATTATGTTTGCATATCTTTCTAACATTTTCTTTATTCCTTCAACAAGCACTTACCAGGAAGTTCTACACCTGCATGTACAATGCTGGAAATGAGATAAACAAACAAGGACAGGGTGGGCATTGTGGCACAGTGAGTTAAGCTGCTGCTTCGGATGCCCTGTCTCCGGATTAGAGCTGGGGCAACTCCACTTGTGAACCACCTTCCTGCTCATGCCTCTTATGAGGCATCAGATGATGGGTCAGTGTTTGACACCCTGCCACTCAGATGGAGTTCTGGACTCTTGCTTTCAGACTAGTCCAGCTCTGGCTGTTGCCAGCATTTGAGGAATGAACCAGTAGATGGAAGATTCTCTCTCTCTCTCTCTCTCTCTCTCTCTCTCTCTTTTCTCTCTTCTCTCTTCTCTCTTTCTCTTTAACTGAATCAACTTGCATACTGTTGTCTATCTATAGTTTTTAGAATCCCTTCCTAATTCTTTCTGAACAGCCATCACCCGCATTTTCTCCACTCCTCCCTGATCTTCTTACAAGAGTGCATCTGACAAGGAAATGTGGCCAATTTGTTTTCTCTCTTTCTCCCTCTCTCTATCTCTTTTTTTCTCTCTATCTGTATGTGTGTGTGTTTCAAGTAGATGAAAATAAACATTTTTTAAAAAACAGGGACACAACAATGGTGACAATTAACTCTGTCTTCCCATATGGTCCTCCACACAATGGCAAAAGATTACAATACTTAATACAAAACTTAAATAACTTAAATAAAGGTAGAATTATTAAAAGGAAAAAGAAATGAAAACTAACATTAGTCTTCATGCATCAGGTAAAATGTAAATGGAAACAAAGATAACATCTTTTTTTAAATAAAAGACTTGAGAATAGAACCACCATGTATAGGGAAAAGCGCAGAAAAATTCAATTTATACTGAACTGAAAGTCACAATAATCATTTGCAATTGCTTTACAGTTTCTTAAAGAACTCCCCTCAGTTTGCTTAATATTCTTGCTAATTTTTCAGCTAAATCAGCATCAATTTTTCAAAAAATTAAGAACACCAAGGAAGGGACTTGCTTTAAAGATAACAAAGGTGACATTAAGAATCTCCTTCTAACAGGACGAACACTACCTAAAAATTGCATAAGAGTACCTATTCAGTCTGGTGTAATAGTCTACATATTTGAGATACAATGTGGGATGACTCAGAACACTGATATAGATGGTCCAGTATGAAGAGAGGGAAACAAATTTTCCATATTTCCTTGTCAGATGCACTCTTGTAAGATCAGGGAGGAGCCGAGAAAATACAGGTGGCTGTTTAGGAAGAATCAGGAAGGAATTCTAAACACTATATTTAGACAACAGTGTGCAAGTTGATGCAATTAAAGAGAAAACAGGCAACTTTTAAAATATATAGCTGGCCACAGGTCTTTGAGAATTCAAGAAGACAATCAACAGTAGACAAGATCCAAAAGTTGCCTCAGGCAAAGTTTAGGACCTAGGCATTCTTCCTAATGGCTCTGAACAGGCAAAAAGCATGAAAGTAGTTCTGTTTTTTTAAAAAAAAAAAAAAAAGACAAAGATTTTCTGCTTCTCCATATCAATTACCTTCAAAGTTTCAGGGAAAAATAAGAAGCAAAACAAAAACAAAAAACCACTGATGGTAAAGAGAAGACTTCTACCCACATTCTGACTTTGGAAAATACTACTTTTATCATTTTCCCTTTTATGAACAATCTTGGGGCATTCCTGAAAAATAGGGGTCCAGTGGCTATGAGAACTCTTAACTTCAAGTAATTTTCAAATGGGAACTAGAGAATTTGAAATTCCCCAATAGGGCGTGTGTGGGGAAAATGAGGGAGGACTTTTATACCTAAAGATTTAAGAAGTTAGAATATGGATGATAGTAAAGGCTCATTTACGAACGAAGAGTTAGGATGCTTCAAAGAAAATTCTGGTAGAGAAAATAGGAACAGTGAATCCTGCGGTTCTCAGCCCACCCGTAACATATCCTTAAGCACATGAAATCATTCAGTTTTCAAACTGGCAAACCTGCCAATGAGCAGAATCTCATTATTAACTTGTGGTAAAGTTCAGACACTAGTCACAGAAAGCACTAGCTTTCTGCTCTGATTCTGCCTCTGAGATCTGGAAAGCTGTTCATGGTAACAGATGGTAGGTGAATTCTTGGTCCTAAGAAAGAATTGAGAGAGTGCAGCAACAGAAATCTGTCTGGTTGGTGCTCCTGCCCTGGTCTTCAGATTCTGCTTGATGACTGAGAGGAAGCCTCTTCTGTTGTCAGGATATCCAGGTTATGGTCCCAAGAGTATAACCATTGTTACATCACTTAACTGCTCTAAATTTCCATTTCTCATGTGCAACAAGAAAGAGGGGAACTGTAGATGACCACTGTAATCCCAAGCAAGGGAAAATATGACATTCTTATCCATATAATGGATACTCATTAGGGACAGTTAACTGTATTTTCCCCAAAATGGAAATGTATAGGCTGTCAGAGAACACAGATTTAACTCAACTGCTTTGATATTGCTGAATTAAAAATTGTTGATGTTAATGGCTATTAAAATATTGAAATGGGGGCAAGCATTTGGCCTGGCTGTTAAGATACCCTTGTCCCATATGGGAGTGCCTGGGTTTGAGTGACAGGTCTAGCTCCTGATTCTAATTTCCTGCTAATGCAGAACCTAGGAGACAGTGGTGATGGCTCAAGTAACTGGGTCTCTGCTATGCACAAAAGAGACCTGGATTAAGTTTCCAGCTCCTAGCTCAGCTCATGCTGGACAGGGGCCACTGTAGGCATTTGGGGAGTGAACACCCATGTGGGACGGCACTCTGTGCCTTTGTCCTTTTTCTCCTGTCTCCTTTCCAAATAAAGAGAATATTTTAAAAATACATTTAATTGAATAACCGTGGAAGGAAAATAATATACAAATACATATTAATGGTGAAAAGAGAGACTGCCCCCGACAAAAGGAAATAACAAAGAAATAGGAAGTGCACCACAGCTGGAGTTAGAACTCATTAACGCCTCAATTCTGCGGCTAGCTGGTTGTAACTTGTGTGACATTGGACAAGGTATATGGTATCTCAGAGCTTCTGTTCATCACTGAAAAATGCAAATAACAACATCTATTTTTGCAAGATTGTTACAACAATTAGAACGTTAATTACTCAACATAGTATGGGGCTGGGATTGTGCAGTGGGTTAATCTGCCACCTGTGACAACCAGCATCCCATAATAGAGTCAGTTGGAGTCCTGGTTGATCCACTTCCAACCCAGTTCCCTGCTAATGTACGTGAGAGAGCAGCATAGGAAAACCCACACACTTGGGCTTCTGCCACCTACCTGGGAGACCTGGATGTAGTTCCAGGCCCCTGGCTGTCACCTGATCCAGCCCTACTCTTTGTGGGCCACTTGGGAATTGAACCAGGGGATGAAAGATTTCTATCTTCTTTCTGTCTATCTCTCTATATATATAATTCTATCAAATAAATAAAATAAATATTCTAAAACTATGGTAATAACTTCTGTATATAAATATCAATAAAAAAGATTAATTCCACCAATCACATATTTATATCAATTTTATTTCTAGATTAATGACATGATAGTTTCCATATAAGTGTGCATACTTGGTAACTTCACAGAATAAGTACACATGTTACAATCAGGGAATGAAAGGAATAATAGTAACTAAAATGTAAATAACGATTTTGCCTTGGATCCTCTTAAAATTAAGAAATTACTTATTCTTAAAAGTATGTATTTTAGTAAGTAAGCATAAGTAAATACACCCATCCACTCCATAGATATATTTTAATAGCAGAAAAGAAATATGAATAGGTTCTTTCTCAATAAAGTTGCTACTATTTTTAGGCGTATCATGGGGAAGACACTTCTTTCTAAGGCTGGTTTGTTATAGGGTATAACATCTTCGAATGTAAAGGGAATTCATCTGGAATCCATCCTCCACTGAAAGGATATGATAAATAAAACCAGTGTTCAGATAAATTAAGACTTTTTCCCACTTCAAGCAATAAAACTTCATCTTACTAACTTGGTGTATTATCATTTGATTCCAAGAATTCTTATAAAAAGAAAAGCAAAACATAACCAATGTTTGCACCTCCTTTATGCTCGCTGCATATGCTTGACTAAATTATATTATGTAATTATAACTGAAGCCTTCCAAGGTTGCTAGTGATGTCCTCGTTTTACAAATGAGGAAAACGAGGTACACAAGTACCTAAACTCACACAATCAGTAACCAGTGGGCCTGGAAGTCACATCCAGCTCTGGGTGGCTCCAAAACCCATGATCCTTCCCCTTTATTATTGAGGTTCAACTGATACAGTAGCTTTTGTAGTTTAAATCAGTCACTATTTAAGCTACCTTTCACTTCTATAACAAACTGATCTCAAGCAAGAGCTAGATTTGGTCAACCAACTTAACTTCTTAAAAAATTTGAAGTGCAGGCCAGTGCCGGGACTCACTTGGCTAATCCTCTGCCTGCGGCACCGGCACCCCGGGTTCTAGTCCTGGTTGGGGTGCCAGATTCTGTCCCGGTTGCTCCTCTTCCAATCCAGCTCTCTGCTGTGGCCCCGGAAGGCAGTGGAGGATGGCCCAAGTGCTTGGGCCCTGCACCCACATGGGAGACCAGGAGGTAGCACCTGGCTCCTGGCTTTGGATCAGTGCAGCATGCCAGCTGCAGCACGCCGGCTGTAGCAGCCATTTGGGGGGTGAACCAACAGAAAAGGAAGATCTTTCTCTCTGTCTCTCTCTCTCTCCCTCTCTCTCTCTCTAACTCTGCCTGTCAAAAAAAAATTTAAAGTGCAAGTACTTTCTAGTAAAATCTAAATATTCCAATGCATTATGAGTATTTTGAAATTGCAAAGCACTGCAAATATGTAAGCAATTATTGTTGCTTGCCAGTTACTAACTATAGCAATACACCGGCTTCCCTTTCCCTGTTTCTTACTATGTTGCCCTCACTGGAGATTTTACCTTAAAAGAAATTATCCACACCCTCCTCCAAAGGAGTGGAAACAAATATTAACAAGTAAGGTGACCAACTACCTGTTTGAGAATGCAACCATGTAGCCTTTCCTTTCCTTCTGGGAAAATTTTCTCTAGCAGCTGGAACTGGAACTACTTCAAAGGTGGCTCTAGAGGTATGGCTTCACTTCATAAATTTTGTGATACCTAATTGAAGGAAAACAAGCTAACACTAAACCTTGAACTGGAGACACTTGTGAGGCAGCTAATGCTCCCACATCTTTGCATATCACACAATCTTCTAATTATTCTCAGTGCCCCAGGAGGAAGAAATTCTGCAACAACTCAATCATGTGGCCATGATGAGCATAGGGTTTGACAAAAGAAAAGAAAATTTGAATCTTCCCCCAAAATGGAGCTTTTACTGTCATCTTTATAGCTACTCAGTAAAAACTGGATGCCGCCTGCCCTGTAGAAACCATGACAACAAAAGGCTGGCATGCCTCAGGGCACTGGACTCTCCATGGCAACATCCTGGCCTTTGACCTTTTTCCTTACTTTTTCTATACTTTGCTTATATTTTTCAGTTGTGTAGTTCAAGAGGGGAAAACAAATAAAAAAGGAATAAATTGGAAAATTGGAAAAAAAGTAACTTAATAAATGTTCCTACTCTTAATAGGGGACTAAGAAAGAATAGCATTTGTTCTTTTTTTTATTTTTCACTTTTATTTAATGAATATAAATTTCCAAAGTACAGCTTATGGATTACAATGGCTTCCCCCCCATAACGTCCCTCCCACCCGCAACCCTCCCCTTTACCACTCCCTCTCCCCTCCCATTCACATCAAGATTCATTTTCGATTCTCTTTATATACAGAAGATCAGTTTAGCATACATTAAGTAAAGATTTCAACAGTTTGCTCCCACACAGAAACATAAAGTGAAAAATACTGTTTGAGTACTAGTTATAGCATTACATCTCAATGTACAGCACACTAAGGACAGAGATCCTACATTGTTCTTCTTAAAGCAGTAGTTTAATAAAATGAAATTAGGCCAGCGCCTAGGCTCACTAGGCTAATCCTCTGCCTTGCGGCGCCGGCACACCGGGTTCTAGTCCCGGTCGGGGTGCCGGATTCTATCCCGGTTGTCCCCCTTCCAGGCCAGCTCTCTGGTATGGCCCGGGAGTGCAGTGGAGGATGGCCCAAGTGCTTGGGCCCTGCACCGCATGGGAGATCAGGAGAAGCACCTGGATCCTGCCTTCGGATCAGCGCGGTGCGCCAGCCGCAGCGTGCCAGCTGTGGCGGCCATTGGAGGGTGAACCAATGGCAAAAGGAAGACCTTTCTCTCTCTCTCTCTCACTATCCACTCTGCCTGTAAAAAAAAAAAAAAAAAAAAAAAAAAAAAAAAAAAAAAAAAAAAAAAGTTAAACTGGAAGAACAAGAAAAGAACAAGAACAAACATGGTATTTAACATACCATAGGATTCTCCTCATGGGGTAGCTGTTTAGGTGCACCTATTATCATGAAGTTCACCCCTACTGGTCTTTTTCCCATTGTGGAAAAGGATTATGACTCACTTTAGGAACACATCAAGCACTCTAGGAAAACAGATTTTACTTTTATCTAAACCAGCAGTGAGAATAATTTATAATTCCAAAAGAAGAAGTAGACAAGCAGAATCACTTTTTGAAAGTCAATTTCACATAAATAAATTCTCCATTTCTTGACTGCCAGTATTACTTTATTTCTTTTTTTTTTTTTAATTTGAGAAGCAAAGCGACACAG